GGTCTGATAGAATGCATGGAATTATTTCAATCTTTTTGTATTTGTTGAGGTTTGTTTTGTGCCCCAGTACATGGTTGATCTTAGAGTAAGATCTGTGGGGTGCTGAATGGAGAGTATATTCTTTGGTGCTTGGTTGTAATATTTGGTAGATGTCTGTTAGGTCCATTTGATATATGGTATTGTTTAATTCAGATGTCTCTCTCTTAATTCTCTGTCCATTTGACCTATATAATGGTGACAATGGGGTATTGAAGCCCCCTACTATTAATGACTTGGGATTAATCTGGGCCTTAAAGTCCTGTAGTACTGTTTTTATGAAGTTGGGTACACCAGAGTTTGGTGAATATATGTTCATGATTATAATATCATCTTGGTTTCTTGTTCCTTTGATCAGAATGAAGTGGCCTTCTTTGTCTCTTTTATTAGTTTTAGTTTTAAGTCTATTTTGTCAGATATCAGAATATCAGAATTGCTACGTCTGCTTTTTCTTAGTGCCATTTGCTTGTTTTTTTTTCACCTTAAGGTAGTACCTGTTCTGGGAAGTGAGATGGGTTTCTTGCAGAAAAGGATGGATTTTGTTTCTTAATGCATTCAACTAGCCTGTGTCTTTTGACAGGGGAGTTCAGTCCATTTATATTTAAAGTTGTTAATGGAAGATGTGTATTGAATCTTGTCATTTTTATTTCTGTTCACATTCTTGATACAGCTGTGCATTTCCACAGTTAAACCTTCACTGAATTTCTTTCCATTACCCCTTGTATATAGTCATTCCTTTCTTCAGCTCTTTGTATAGTTTCAAGTACTCTCTGAAGGGCTGGTTTTGTGGACATGAATTCTTTCAGCCTATTTATATCATGGAAGATTTTTCTTTCTCTTTCATCTATGATAGATATTTTGACTGGGTAATCAGGGTTGCCATCTGTGGTCATTTAGATCTGTGAATACTTTGGTCCAGGTTCTTCTGGCTTTCACAGTTTGCACTAAAAAGTCAGCTTTAATACTGATGGGTTTTACTTTATATGTGATTTGCTGTTTTTTCTTTTGCACCTTTCAGTTTGTCTCTTTGTTCTGAACATTTAGTGTTTTTACTATGATGTGCTGTGGAGAGTTTCTTTTCTGGTCCTGTCTATTTGGTGTTCTATATGCTTCCTCTATTTGTATGGGCACGTCTTTCTTTAATTTGGGGAAATTTTCTTCTACGATTCATTTGAGGATCTGGTCCATGCCATTACATTGGGATTCTTCTCCTCCCCGTATGCCTATGATTCATAAGTTTGGTCTTTTTATGGTGTCACACAATTCCTGCATACTCCGTTCTTGTGCTTTCTTAAATTTTTCAT